AGTGTCCCAGAGAACAAATGAGCATCCCAAGCTTTATTAGTAAGTACATGATGCCAGCTATATGGATGCTCACACTTTAGAAGCAACAATGACATTTCCTTGTATGCCAATTGACCCTCACTACATCACCCTTTTTATCAGTGCTCCTGGAATAATTACTAAACACAGGTAGTTTGGGAAGGGATGAAACTTGTATTTTTGTACAGCTAACTAGGACTGTGCTACTTGATTTCAATTTTGTTTCTGCCATAATTATTCTGTAGTGTGCACCAGAGTTTTCACTGCATATCTAACAGAAGTATGCAGTTGGAATTCCTTGTTGGTCTTTGTATCAACTTTGCTTTCTTCTACTGTCAAACTGGGGAAATGCAGCTTTTTTATTATTAATCTCTGGCTCATTTTATTTTGAACATGACAGCTATCTCACAAACGATAAATAGATAATCATTTTTACTTGATTTTTTGTTCTCTTTGGGAAACTTAAAGGCTACAGGGGCTCCAAGTGTCCTTTTTTCTTTTCCCTTTTGAAGGGGAGGGGCCAGAGACTGGACCCTTGCCTTCTTGGACACACAACATGATCAGGGTTCCATCTTATGAAAAAAATTGAGTTGTTACTCTTCTGCAACTGGTGATATTGAAAAAAATTTGTGGAATTTATTTTCTGTTGGTCATCTACTGCTGGGCATCTAGCCAATACTTAAGAGTAGTTTATTTCCCCAGAGATACTTTCTTTAAAAAATCAAATTTTTCTTTTGCAAGAGGTTATTAATTGTATATAGTTTCTAGGTTAGGAATGGGAGAATATGACTATTTCTCCTTTCTGCTGAAGGACTCTACCTAGTTTAGACCTGCTTGGACCCTGTGCATTCTGCCTTGGTGTCTGGGCGTTAATATAGAGTTAATATATGTGTTGGTCTTATTGGTTTAAAAGGCCTTGTTTCATTGCTGTTCTTCATCCACTCTGGCTCACATAGTCTTTCTGCACACTCTCCCATAGGGTTCCCTGAATCTTGGGAGGAGCGATTTGATGGAGACATGCCATTTAGGGGTGAATGTTCCAAGGTCATTCACCCTCTGACCCTCTGTGTACTGTCTGGTTGTGGGTCTCTGACTTTGTTTCCATGTACTGCAGAAAGAAGCGTCTCTGATGATGAACAAAGGCACTGATCTAGGATGATAGCAGAATGTTTTTAAGATTCATTTTATTGCTAGTTTCCTCTGGTAGAACATTAGTATTTGGTTTTTATCCTTGGTCCCTAGGATATCCAGTCTCAGAGTCTTGGTTCCATCTCATGAAGTGTGTCTTAAGCCAAATAAGATATTTCTTGGATAATTCAACAAGCTTTGTACCACCATTGAAATATATCTTGCAGTCAGAACACCATTGTAAATTGAAGGATTTGTAGGTGGATTGCTGTTACGTTTCTCCTTTAGTTGCATGTAGAGTATATACTGATACCAATAATACTAGTCAGCATGTGTGAAGGACCTATGTAGGCCCCAACAAGATTTCTCCATGTTCATTGAGTTGTGTTAAGTGTTATCTTCAGCAAGGAGGCTTTGCTGTCAGATTTTTAGAGCAATCTATTATCTTGGCAGCAACTTGTGAAGTTTGGGGGTTTCCACGAGACTTCTTTGCTCAACAACCCCACTACATGTAAACCATTCTCAGAACTGGAAACTTAATTTGGTGATAAGAGATGTCCATCTGGGGTTTTGTCACCTTGGCAATTCATGTAGATCACTTTCATGTATGTATATATTTTAAGAAGGTTCAACTGTGCTAGATTTCTATTCAAGTTGCTCTTAATTTTAGCTGCCTCTCACTGTAATCACTCCTTTGCACCATCTTTCCTCTTCTTTCTATCTTGAACCTACCACTCCAGCCTATTCATTCATGACTCTCTCTTCTATTTCCATGTATTAAAGGACTATCTGATCCCTCAAGTACCTTACTCGCTACTCAGCCTTTGTGTGTCACCTCTGATTTAAGAGCTATCATCTGCATATAAGTGGATATCCATATTCTTAAAACAACACCAACAAAATGAAATCCTCCTTCCCTGAGGTAGTGTAACCCTTTGATCTTATATCATAGCAGCACTCATTATAAACACACAGAAGACACTACGTTGAGTTGTCTGAAATTTTATACAAATGGATACCTGCAGTTTGTTCATTTTTCTGTATAGCTTTTACTTCCATTAAAATACTTTGAAATTGATTTTTTTGTAGTAGAATGCCAGAATGCCACCATTTCAAAATAGAATATTAATCCCTGGCATGAAAATAACTTATTTATCCCTTTGCCAATTAATAGGTACTACAGTTACATCATTTTTCTGATATTCTGGAGATATATATATATATATATATATATATATATATATATATATATATATACACTCTGAGGGAATAATTTCATTTGTAAATATATCTTTTAGATGTAAGTCTGTATCAAATTGTTTTACAATAAACATGTTCTGCTCTGTTATTTGATTAAGATAGGTTACATGAAAAACATGCTCACCTATAGCTCATTTCATGTTAATATTTTGAAATACTGTGTGATGTGCCAAAGATGGATCAAAATAAAATTTGAATGTTTCCTTTACTGTTCACACTTTTCAGAGCTCTTGTGAATAATTCTCACATTAAATTTAGTGAGGTAATGCCATTAGGAAGGACATCAGAAAGAGACTAGGAAAGCAGGAAGGGGCTTGGGAAGTAATCTGATGTGGAGCAGGAGTACCGTGTAGATGAATGTTTGGCAGCATTCCAGAGACAGGAATTCTAGAGACTGGCAAGTGTGAAGTAGTAACTGCTAAGTCCTGTAGAAAGTTGTGGAGAGTCTGGAAAAATGAAAGGCAAACCTTTTTCTCTAATGTGTTTTTATTTTTATTTTTTGAGGAACATGCTAGTGAGTAGGTCAATTTGCTATACATACAGTGAAATTTACAGCTTTTTTTAAAGCAATAATTTAAAAGCAGACATGTTGATTTCCAGAAATGTCCATAAATTATTCTTGGGTTAGAAAAGCAAAATACAGAAAAGACAGATAAAATAATTATGAGTTAAAGGTGATTAATGCAAGCTACACAGTCCATATATGCTCATTCATTTATAACTCTGTTTTTTGTCCTCCTGATTACCCAAATGTATGAAATACAAATCTATGCTGATATCCTAAATCTTCTACAAGATCTTCAGGTGCAAATGTTGCCTACCCATTATGTATGTAATGAAAACTTCATAGTCTTCAGATCAGCAACAATCTGTACCCCAAACTCTGCTCCCTCAACCCACTGACAGAGTTAACTTTTCCCTTTGTCGTGACAATCAGTTCCTTTACCCAGATGCCAGAAGCTGAGCCATCACCCTGGAGCATGTCCGGTTCCTGCTACTTGACCTCCTAACCAATTTAGCAATTTATCAGCTGTTACTAATTCTCTATTTAAATTCTTTCAGAACCAATTCATCCATTCCAATTAATACAAGCAACATCTCAGCAAGAACTCAGTTATCTCTGTGTTGCTATAAAAATAACATAATATTATGCCTCCAAGCCTGTGTTCGTTTACCACTGAAATTCTTTATTATCTATAAGTTTCAACTTAGACAGCCAATTTCATCAATGTTATAGTTGACATAATGTGGAAATATAATTGATATATATTACCATTTTCTTTACTGAAACCATTGTATTTCCTTGTTTGTAACTTCGTTAGTTTTCCTAACATTCTTGATTCAATTTCCCACATACAAATAAATATACACACAATGAAACAAACATTGGCTATAATCATGACTCTTTATCAAATCCTAAATTATTTTCCTCTGTTCCATAATTTACTCATTTCAACACTCTCCTTTATATCCCTAGGGAACAAATGAGATAGCAATGCGCTCTTAACTAAATCTCAGCATGTTTTTCAAAATTTAAAAACACCCCTCATAAACACCTAATTTATTGAAAATTGTGTTTTTTTAATTGATGTTTGAACATGCATGTGTTCTCTTGGTTGTGAATATAAGCTTCAACACATAAAAAAAAAAAAACCACTCCCTGAGTATTCAGAACTCAAGGAACAATCCTGTTAATAATATAATAAAACACCATCATATTTAGATGGGTGGTAGCTGTTATAAATAAATAAATGAAAAGAAACCAAAATAAGACATCGATAAGTCAACCAGACTTCTAAAGTATTTCAGAATATCGAGTGACTCCTATATGTCAGTCTCCTTTTTAATATGTGTAACCATCAAAGAATAGCTAAAAAATTTATACTTGTGTTTAGGGTAAAAATCTAAAGCCTTTGGATAGCAATAAACAGTTAACTGAGTGATCACAATATACTGGGTTATTTTGTGATAGGACACTGGCTGTAAAAAATAACTATTTGAGTCACTGTTGAGGCAGCAAATATAATGTAACATCAGAGACAAGTTGACAGTTTGATGTGTAAAAAAAAAAGAATCCATCAACCCACATGGTATGTGTGACATTGATTCTTTGTGGTGCCTCTAGCCCATCCATCTAGTGGATATTTTATGAACTCAGACAACCAATGATTTCAGCTTTGTAGGTAGAATGGTACAGATGAAAAATATAGTTTGCATTTACTCAATGTTATATCAACTTTAAACTTCGGCAATTTGTTAATGTAACAAGGAAGTACAATAAAATACCAATTATGTTCCTGTTACTCTGAGGTCAAAAAAATCAGCTTTATTGGCATTTCAAAGTAGCATTGAGGCCACAGTATTAGACAAGTATAGAAATCATTCATTTTACACAAAAGCATCAGCATTAAAAATATGTCTACTGGCCACCGTGGCCTCCTCCCGCGCCAGTTAGCACCCTCAGCAGCCGCAGCCCGCAGGAGTTTGCCCCCTCCTTCCCAATCAAGTGTGGGAGCCAAGAACCCCCCCCCCCCTCCCAGTGTGCTTGTCACCCTGGACCCTGGCGCAGAGCCCTGGCATCAAAACATGGAGGCTGAGACTCTGTCCTGGAGTCACCCAGGAGAGATGGAACCACCTCAGTGTGTGGAGGAGCTGGAAGATGATGTGTTCCAGCCAGAGGATGGGGAGCCAGGGACACAACCTGGGAGCTTGCTCTCTGCTGCCCAGAGCCAGCTGGATTGTCCCCTCAGTCGGCTTCAGCTGTTTCCTCTCACTCACTGCTGTGGTCCTGGGCTCGGGCCCATAAGCCAGGAAGACAAGGACACCCAGACCCTCAGCCCAGCCTCCCCAGGCCAGGGTGTTATGCTACCTTGTGGGGTGATAGAGGAACTCCAGAGACTCTTTTACGGCAATGCTGGCTGCAGGCTTCCTCTCCCTTCCAGTTTCCCTGCAGGCTTGCCCCTTGGGGAGCAGCCCTCTGAAGGACAGTGGCAACATCGAGCAGAGGTACAGATCGCCAGATAGCTTCAGTGCATTGCTGACCAGTTCCATTAGCTTCACATTCAACAACACCAGCAGAACCGAGACCCTGCGTGGTGTCAGGTCTTCCTCTTCCTGCAAAACCTGGCCTTGAACAGAGAAGAAAACAGGAAAGGGGTGGGGCCTGGTGAGGCTCGTGGCCCTTGTTGGATGGAGCACCAGGAATACAGTCTGGAACGCGGCAGACATCTGGGAGGACAGACACTGTCTTGTCAAGTTTTGTTATTTTTAATTTTTTTTCTGTGTGTACATATAAAAACCCAATGGGATCTTCCTTCCCGCTCAGAACTTGCACTGGGAATGGGGGCCATTGTCAAACACTGTTGAAGTAGAGACAACCATGTTGGCTGGTGGAGTTCCTAAGGCTCTGATAGTGACCAGTTGGTGATGCCCTTCCAGGAAATGGACTGAGGCTTCCCTACTGGAACTGGTTAAGAAATGGGAGGTCAGGTCAGATTCCCAGGATCACCAAATATGTCAGCCTGCCCTTACCCCTGATGGAAACACAACTCTAACCCACCAGGACCTTGGCTAGGGGCTTCTGGCTAAGAACAACAATGCTTTGGCTAGCCAGCCCTACATCTGGGTTTCCTCTTGGCACAGCCAGTGCCCACCACATGGGCTCAGGGATTCTTAAACAGACCCTGTCACCTTCAGAAGACCTCAGGGAGGTTTGGACTTCTCCAAGAACTTCTCAAAGGTGCCTCAAAATGGAATCAAGCTTGATAGGCCCTGAGTGTAACTTGGTCCCACATGGAAACCCCTTGAATGGTCCCAAGGTACAAACTACTGCCACCTTTGCTGCCTGGGTGTCAAACACGTGTGAGCCAAGTAGCCAGTCACCATCATGTTGTACCCAGCAGCCTGTGCCTTTGTCAGCTCTGTTTTCAAAAGACCCTGCCAACTCCTGGACTGGATTGAACTACACCTACCTCAGCAGCAGCACTTCGATGGGGTAGGTTCGCAGGGGTCATGGGAATGGAGCAGCCATCCCACTGATCAGTCAGTCCCAGGGGATCCTAGACCTCTTGGTTTCCCTGGAAACATGTACCTCCTCCCCCTTATCCCCATTCCTTTTTTTGTACCTAGTGAGATACAGGAAGAAGCTAGGACAGTGACTTTGTCAGCTGAAAAGTGACTTTTGATGTAACAGACAATGCTTAGAACATGGAACTGGCAGAGCTGGGTACACACTTCCTATCTTCCTTCAGCTTCCAGCTAGCCCAGAAGGGAAAGTTCTTGAACCCAGTGGTATCTCAGCTGCCTCTGAACATCTTCTTTCTCTCCTTGCCACAGCACTCAGGGAGGGGACTCAAAGCTGCTGACCGTACTCACAGGGTGACTCCTAACCCGACACCTGGAAATCAAATCGCAATTTTTATATGTATGTAAGGAAAGACATTAGTGCTAAAGATAAAACCCAAAGAAAAGATGGCTTCCCTGAGCAAAGACAACTCCAGGGTCACTGAAGGAAGTTGGAGGAGGAACTCAGAGGAGACTCAAATTGAACCACCTCAATGACTCATTTCTTTTGCGGGGAGAGTCTTCAGTCTTGTAGAATGGCAACTGACCTCTTGGGTATACAGTTGGGTAGGTTTTATACTGCCCAGCATATGAGGGGATCACGGAGGCTGACGTCCAGCCTGTGCTCTGCTCTCTGGGCTGCATGTCCTGATGTGGGGCTAGATCTGCTCAAGTTAGAGATGTCTTTCCTAATCTACAGAAAGGCACTGGGTGCACTCAAAACAGTCCCAAGAAGGACCTTGAAGTATGTGTATAAGCCTTTGTGTTTTTCTGCTTAGATGATCTGGTGATATTACCTCTTCTTGGCCACAGTCATTTTCTCAGGGTATATACCATTGTTTGTCTGCTAAGAAGCTGGGATCCTGTTTGCAAGGAGAAGGGACCTAATTAATGTATATGAAGACTGGTTCTGAGGGCACACTAATCATTGTGAAGCCTAGCCTTTCTGTATGTCTCCCAGACAGTTTAGATGTGCGTGGGACGTATGTGGTCTTCCACTTCCCTGATTTCAAGGCTTTGGCAGGCAGGCTTCTGGTATGTGCTTGGCACATGTGCTGTGGTACATGTGTGCCCCCCATTCAGAACCATGTATACCAGTCATCTTTGAAACTTCTTAGCAGACTTTACATCTGTGCCGGGACATAGCTCTCAGCTTCAGAGACCTTGCCAAGCACAGGCTGGGTGCCCTGTGGTCTGTCCTGAGAACTGAGCCCAGAGATTGACCTGAACATTGAATCTGGGACCAGGTGGAAGCTGATCGGAATGCACTGTCTCCACTTTGGCCCTAGGCAGGCTCAAAATCACCAACTTGGGCAAGTCAGGGTGAAACTGAAACCCTCTTTTATTTTCCTTCAACCTGAATCCAGGCTGGGGTTGAAGCTCTGTGATGGAGTTCTTGCCCAGCAGTCAAAAGACCCTTGGAAGCATCCCCAGGACTGTAAAATATAAATAAAAACACAGCCTCTCCTTACTCCTGCACCACAAGCCCTAGGAGGTAGCTGGCAGCCCAGCCCTAGGAAGCAGAGATAACCCCTGGCTGGTTGCTTTAATTGGCCAGTGATCTGTGCCTTGTGAATTGGCTTTATTGTCTTTCAACCCAGCTCCAGGACAGCCAGCCCCTCCCCATTGCCTTTCTCCAACTCCAGGAGCCTGTCTGTCTCTAGTGAGGAGTGGAGATTCATATTTAGAGGGAGGGAAAGTCTGACCTGTGTGATGACCTGTAACCAGCTGAAGGCAGCCAGCTTTTGTGGTGTGCTGAGGATGGGGGAGGGAGAGGGGTATCAAAACCTGGTATAGAAATGCCCTAGAGGGACAGAAGCCCCATATTCAGGCGCCAAATTGCTCTTCTAGTTCACAATTCCCAGCAGGCATTTCTAGAATCCAGTGAACAGATCTGAAAAGGAGTGTCCCCAGTCCAGTTACTGACTCCCCAGTGAGGCTGGGCGGGGGTGGGGAGGGGAAGCTCTGCCTGGCTCTGTCTCTGTGTTTCAAAGTCTGGCTATGCTATGCAGTTGTCCCCAGTGGCCTTGTCTTGCTCAATCAGAGGTGGAAAAAGATCACCTCCCGGTGACCTCCCTCAGGCCCCAAGGGATGGGCTGTGTCCAGAACTATGTGGCAGAGCTTCTTTCCAGACCTAGAGAGGCCCAGCTGGCCTGCCTTGCAGCCCCAGCCAAAAACCCAACCCTGACTTTCCTTTTGGGGGACCTGATAGGGAGTCGGGGACATGTGCCTGGAGTGGCCAAAGCCGTCTGTCAGTCTTCATGGCTTTGCAGGACTTTTGAAGAATCAGTACTGTGGCCACCATCCTCCTGGTGGAGCGAACTGTGGCTCTTTGAAGATGAGGACCTTTGGAGACACGTTATCTTGGCCTGATATCCTGGTGGGGCAGAGTGGACCCAAAGGTGTTCAGAGTTTCCTGGGGTTCCTATGAGCTGCAGGTCTGGGGGACATTGCCTCAAGGGGACAGAGGAACAAAGCTGGGCTCTAAAATATATGCTTAGCCTTGGCCAAGGTGCTATGAGGTATGCAGCCCCAGGCTTGCACTGCCCCTCTTTCTACATGTGTCTCATGGTCCACCCCACCTCTGGGTCTACAGGAACTGTCAGGGGTAGACCCAGTGAGATGTAGCATTTCATTCACCCCCAGTTTGGTTGCCCTGTGGTCTGGGCATTCTGCCTTAAGGAGAGTAATAGGGACCATTATTTTTTAATCTGCACATAATATTTGGCTTTTTGTTTGTTTGTTTTTGACATGTATACATGTGTCAATATCGTCTCCCTCACCAACTGGTACAATTTTTAATAAAACCATTTAAGTTTAAAAAAAAAAAGATTTCTACTACATTTAATCCTCCACATTCCAAAGTGCTGCAAAGAATTTGCATTCAAAGTTTCATTCATTTCATTAAAAATGCATGTGGTATTGCTAAACAATATGGGCCATCTTAATGATGAAAAAAATGAAAGAAAGAGATATAAATTCTAGTTTCACAAGCCAGTGGCTTTTTGTAAGTGAAAAATGCAAAATGTGATATTTTCTGATTTGGAGACCTCTGATAGTAATTCTAGCAACAGTATTCCTGAAAGAAAGAGTGCATACACTGGAATCATAGCTCTGCTTTCTAGAAACTAAAGAACCTGTAAAAAACTATCTCATTAATATATGTATATTCTTTCTTACATAAATATAAATAGGGAATAAATATTTGGATTTTAGTGCATTAAGAAGATTAGGTAAGGGGCTGGAATGATAACACAAAGGGTTAATAACATTTGCTGCTCTTGCAGAAGACCCAGATTTACTGAATAGTAACCACATACTGATTTACAAATATTTGTAACTTCAGTTGCAGAAATCCAATAATCTCTTTTATGACTTCACAGTTACCAGACATATATTCGATACAATATACAAATGCAGGAATACATTCATACATGTGCAATATAAATAAATGGTTTTCAAAACCCATTAAATAAATGAGCATTTGAAAATATTCACATGTGGAGCCCAGAGCATATGAGTCTCCTCAATAATAACTATATGTATATTATTAATAATTTCTTTGTAGACAATCAATGCCAATTCAACTTGAAGATTTCAGAATGTGAGTACAGTGTTGCCTGACTCTATTAAGAGAAAAATAACTTAAAATAGTCTCTGGAGAAAGAGTTTCTTCTGAAAATTTGAATATTGAGTAACATTTGCCTAGAATGATAGGTGGGCACCATTTTAACAGTAGGATTGGAAACATGAGGAAAATTAGGTAAAGGAGGGTTGCCATATACAATATTCACTTAAAGGTATCTGAGTAGTCTTTGCATTGGAATATCAAATAACTGTCACAAAGACAAGGATCCACAGAATCTTGTGCACGAATGACATTATTTATCATGTTCTAGTACATATTTCCCACTATATTTTATTTCCTCAAAAATTGACTTTTATTAATCATTTTATGCTACTTACAATTGCTATACCAATCATACAATTAATTTAATTTAAATAATACATAAATCTACAGACTGAGTTCAAAGTAAATAGAGATTACCATCAAAGATTTATAATTACCTTATAATGTTGTG